CATGTTGGTGGGGATAGGCGTTGGTTCCTCCGATTTCGAATTGTGCCCCAGCTAACTATCCTTGTCGGAAGGTGCAACAATGTTTGACCGGGTGGTCTGGCTCGCGGGCTTGGTTAATTGTGTGGCATTATACCCCGACGGCGTAGATCGTAATATCACCCCATCCCTGTCTGTTTGCTTCGATAATTTGCAGGCCGCCGTGATATAGCTGAAATATTTTTGACGAAACCTTGCTTTTATTCTGACCGGAGGTTAGGGTTTTAGGTGCAGATACTCCCATTGTATGCCACACCTCCATACAGCCGTGACAGAAACATGAGCGTCACACCGCACCCACAGAATGTAAACAATTATTACGACACTACCACATTAACACCCGGGAAATATGTTCAAATGACATGCCTGTCAACGTGGACATAAAAGCAGATGAAAGTGAAACATTGCAAGATCGTAAATTTCATAATATTTCCTTGCAAAGGCATAAACTTGTATTACGTTCACAGGACCTAACTTTGTCGATCACAATATTGAAGACATAAAGCCTAGATGTGAGGCCCAGCCGTTAACAATATACCTATTCAGATTATAAGAAATCGATTATGTGACAAAATACCATGAGTAAGCTAGTTTTAAATTAATCCATCAACAATGACAATTAAAGTTTTTAACAATGCAAATGGCAAAATTCTGTTAAAACGAAATTATTTCATAAATCCATCCAAGGCGATCTAAATGCCCTGCTGTTCGAGACAACGAGAGTGTAGTTACTGTGCATATCCAGCTCTACGCTGGGTTCGAATCCCTGTTCACCCTGGTTATGTTTCTAATACCCCGTTCGGATGCACATCTACTAACGAAAGTAATTTTGCACATCTGTAACTATACATACGTGTGTATATGTATATTTACTATGCGTTCACATGACAATCAACTTAGGTGTGTAAATATAATTTGTAAATTGTTTACGACGTTCAAGACAAAACATTTTTTTTCCAATCAAAAATGAATGAAAAGAGAGTTACTTCACCGAAAATGTGTTTGATTTCCTTTGTACACAAAGTTCTGACTCCTTGAAACCAAAAGAAAACACCGTCCGCTCAACTCTGTATATACGCATAAAGGTTGGCAACTGTTGTTTGTTTGGAGTTGGCAAACGAACAGATATTAATTAGATCATCCTCTTACGTTAAAATAAACGTTCACATTGCAACATATACACACAGGGTAAATTGACATTTACATTTGCACTTGCGAATTGGCTCCTGGTGTAAATATACACACATGAGTAAACACGTTCACATGACAAGTATACTCATGTATGTATTTCTACACACGTATGCACATATACACACATATGTAAAGAGGCGCATGTGAACGGGGTATAAATTTGTCAGACCAAACCCGTGCTCGTGGGTTTCACCAAAGTGGTAAACGGCAGAGACTTGCATCACTTCGGGCTTTCTCTCACCCACTTGAAGATCCGGGTTAGAATAGGTCTTCAGCAACCCATACTTGCCGTAAAAGGTGACAATGCTTGTAAGAGGCGACTAACGGGATCGGGTGGTTAGGCTCACTGACTTGGTTGACGCATGTCATAGTATCCTAATTGCGTAGATCGATGCCAATGATATCAATCATAGGATTGTCTGGTCCAGACTCGATTGTTTACAGACGGCCGTCATATAGCTGGAATATTGCTGATTGCGGCGTTAAACACATACAACAACAACTTTCTCTCACTTCAGCTGATATATAAACTAAAACACAGCTCAAAGTCACTCACTCATCTTCAAACTCACTCACGCTCCAGTTCTTCACATGAAGACACAAGTATGAAGATGTAGAATACATTAGATGCGAATCACGACAGTGTATTCCGCAACCACCCCGAGATAGGTCTCAGATTATGATTTAAACGTATGTAATCCGTCATTACCTGGCCCCTGGCTTCACACGTTACATGGCGTTATGACAGTTCATCTCCAGTGTATAAAGCCGTTTATGACCATTTGCTGCTCGTTAACGCTCTCGAGCAAGAAACATTGATATGATTATGTAACACCAAGCGTAACCACGTCGATACGCAATCTAATCCCACCGGCAGATCATCAAAGAGTATCGGTGATCGATAAACAACAATGGGATACCAAGTGGAAACCCTTGTCCTTGTAATTCTGATTTATAAGTTTTTAAATGTCTTGAACGTTTTTAGAAGTCAGTTGGTGGTAATGAGGTTTTGATAATTCAAGAATATTCTGGAGGGAGTGATATATGGCAGATTAATTACCTTAATGCTTGGACCATGAGGGTCGGGGATAAAAGGTTATGAGATGTACTGTCGGGCAGTACTTACACTCTCCTTCAGATCACAAGCTGCTTGGTCGAGCGGAATGAAACATGACCAATGCACGCAAGCAACGTAATTTATCAGTACCGTTAATTGTACAGCATAGTTCATTGCGACCATTGAATCTGTGACATTTCTGTATCATTAGTTGCAAGCATTACGAGTTCTCAGTACTTTTAATTACAATCAACACTAGTTATCAGTATTGATACTTCTCAGTACTATTAATTACAACCAGTGTGATTTCTCTGTACAACTAAGCGCAAACAGTATGATTTCTCAGTACCACTGAACGGAAACAGTATGATTTCTCAGTACCAGTGAGCGCAAGAAGTTTGATATCTCAATACCACTGAGCGCAGCTAGTATGCTTGCTCAGTACCATTATATTACAAGCAGTATACTTTCTCAGTTCCATTCAATGCAGGCAGTATATATATATGTTCTCAGTACCAGTGAATTTAATTTAATTTGTTGCGTACCATTGAGTAAACCCACTTTATATCACGGGTATTAGTCGCAAGAAAGTTCTCATTGCCATCACGTAGAAGCAATACGTTCCAACTACCATTGAGTTTAAGCAACATTCAAACATGAGTGCAAGAAAAATAAGTTTTCAGTATCATAGAATAACGTTAGTACAGACTTCACATATTAACCAAAACGAGCAAATTCCTACCCTAAACCTGTGTGAAGCACTTAAACTAAATGCATTGCGTGATGCACGTATGCATGATACCAGGTGCGAGGTTGCATATAAATGCATCATGCATAAACATAGATGAAAGGGACGTTTATCACAAAGTAACTTATCAACCTAGTGTGTCATGTGCTGTGGGCGACTGTGTTAAACCAGGCATTGTACAAGTGAATATTTTAGGCATGCTTGCTGATGCACAGTGGTATATTTCTGTCAACCATGTATGCTTTGAATTTATGTCGGTTTGACTTTATGCAAACATTTAGTTTCGGCGCATAGACTCTGGATTTAATGCACGTCGTTTTTTTCTCTCTTTGTTCGCACACGTAATGTGTCTGCGCACCTGCTGTTTATTCTAACGCCTCTACTCATTGTATGCGTCTTTGCATTAATGAATCTATTCATGGATACAGACTATATAATTATAACAGTTGAACTATCGTACCTTTTTTTACATAAACGTATATTAACACATCTGTTCGTATCTCTACGTCCCAAAATCACAGGTAACAATCGTAAATAACTAACACTAACATCTTTATGGTTATAATATTCATGACAAACTCAAAGGCAACATGAACAGGCCATGTTTAATCGTGTTTTAGAAGCATACAACTAAACACTCATTCCAAATAAAAAAGTATGTCTAGCATTTCGTTTATCTGTGCACAATTGATATTATTGTGAAGTTCCCTTCGCACCAGCAGTAGCTTGAACATCTGAGAGAATTTAATGTGTGACTATCTTTCTCACTTTAGAACACATTAACCCGAAATCGAGTCTTGACAGAGGTATGCTGTGTGCAGTGTTACAAGACTGAAGATCTAGAAAGCCATATAATCCATTATTATAATTCATTTGTAGTTATCAATAAATTATGATCAGATACTTTTGTTTTTGTGTATTAACAACTCAAAAGAAGTAAAAGAACACCGGAGTTTTTCAATATGACTATAGTTAATCTGTCTTGGCTGGTTGGTATTGAAACACAGCCTTCCATATATATATGTAAATCCCTAGCCCTATGTACACATATGACCCAATATCAACAAAAGAGGCACTGTTTAATCAATGGAAAGGTAAGTAACCTCATACAATATGTATCAAACAATTTTCCAATTCGTGAAATCCTACAAAATTCCTTTCATAGATTATGTTGCTTCTATCAGTTTGGGCGTAAAGGACGCCATTGATTGAAATATTTGGTTTTATTCCGCTTGTTTGGAGAGTTGCCATTCCCGCTGGGGCACCTGGCTATATAATTCCACTATTGTGCTGTGCGGTCGGCCTATGACACAGTACATGCGTAAGTCGCTGGCCCTACTTGTGGAACAGTGTTGTGTTATATCAGTCTACAGAAACTGACGTCTTATTACACACGACTTAAAGAGATTATACCTTAATCTGGAGAATTATCATATGTTATGCCTTTCTTCTAAGGGTTTTGATAGGATTAGATAGCATTTCGCATTACTTATTACTTATTACGTTTGTAATGCCTGAAATCTCTGGACGTTCCTCAAGTTAATTGGATAGTATGATTATAATCTTACTATCCAATTAACTTGAGGAACGTCCAGAGATTTCAGGCATTGCCGTGAATATGCATTGTTTCTTATCTAACTGCCGGGCAAAAGAATGTATACACTTGAAAATTGGATTTGACCAAAACCAACCTTACCAAAACGTTCCAAAAAAGAAAACAGTTGCCGAAATTAAGGGTCCAAAACACAAGTATGCTATACTCGTATCAAATAATTCACCATTAATTGTTTTAACCATGACAGGTAATATTTTTGTATAATGGGAATTATTAACGTCGGATCTAAGTTGGATGAAATTCGGATCCTTCAATATCACCCCCCCCCCCCCCCCCCCCCACACACACACACACACACACCCACACACACGCACACACACACCCTCTCCATACCAAGGTAAATATATACTTACCTTCATAGTCTGAAGGTATCACAATAGTTTCGTCTGTTTCGTTGTACTTTCTGATTCTAGGATCATACATGACATTTCTGGCCAGGAGTTTTCGTATTGTTCGGGTTTCGAACAGCAACATAGGCTGTGTCAGATTCACAGGCAGAGGTTTGTCCTTGGTGGTCAGTAGAGTGGATGTACATCTCACAACCTGGGGCAGTGTGAACTGTTCTGACAGATCCTCCAGGGAGTAAGTCTGCGTACTCCATTGGGCTTTAGGGTCTTCCGAATGTCCATTCCCATTGACGCCATTCCTCTTCGAGGACGTTTTCGAACGGCTACTCATGGTGACAACTTCAGTCAAACGACGACGACAAACGGCAGACGAGTCAACAGACCCCAAACATCAGATCTGTGTATGACTATCTGGTGTTATATCTCACAAACGTGTTTATATAATCAAGGTGAAGGATGAACCCTCCGCCGGCTTCACTGAAATTTTCACGTGCCAGTGAAACTATCAAGATTTCACTGATTAGCTTTCAGCACAAGCAGACGATAGTTGAAGGAGCAGACGACAACGTATCGTCTCATCAAAATAGGATAGTCGTGTTGGATGTCAGTCAATGATAAATCCGTAAGTAGGGCAGTATTAATGAAGGGAGGCGATGTGAAACATCCGTCCGTGTTTTCGTGAACAAATGCTGTGCTGCCACTAGGATGGACATCAAGCTACATTGCAAAGTCAGTCATGTAGAAAGTTAAACTTCCTATGCTTAAACCGCTGTGCAGGTGTGTATATATCTTCCGTGCGTCTGTTCCGCTTTGAGCTCTCGTTTCTAAGACCAAACAAGGTCGATTTTATCCCCAAATAACAGCAGGCAGACAAAAGCTCTCATTTGGTGTGGCCGCACAGTTACGGTAGAAGAACATCAATGGGGATTCTTAGCATGAGTAATCGCATTCACCTCTTTCACAATAACATACTATACGAGGGGAGGCAACTGCTGACAGGGCAAATTCTTCACATTATGTATTACAGCGATAAGCCCCAGGTCAAGTGAACCAATCAATGCGGCTCTTTCAAACCTTAGCAAATACCTACACATTGAAGAACAGTGTATACCACGTAAATATGAACTCATAACTTAGCGTGGAATGCAGACGTTGTGTATTCGAACAGCATCCTAATTGTAAAGATGAAGCCTGGTACAAAAACGCTCTGCTACTCACGGCGGTGTCAGTTTAACGTTTCTGAATGAGTGGTTATGGCACAACATTCCTCACTATGAAATGGGTGTCATACTTGTAAAAGAAGCAGGTCTGTCACCCAAAACCCCATTTCAAACCTGCTACTGTACTTTATCATGCTCTTTTTAACATAATTACAATCGTTGACGTGGACGTGTATTTTGTTCACATTTTGACAAAGTAGGGAAGTGAAAAACATTTTTCTGAATCACATTCTTTGTAGTCATCATGGCAGCATTCCAACCGCGGATTGTAATATTCTATTCTGCTTCTGACTACATACGTCGTGTAACGTGTTTGAGTTGTGCCATTGAATAATAATGTTATTTTGTAAGCATTTCTGATCAAACGAATTCAGCACACTCTCTGTAAGGAAGGATCGAAATGAACTTTAAATTCCGAAACTGACATACAGCGAACCCTCGTTAATCCGGACAGTGCTGTTCCAAGTGAAATCGTCCGGGATTACATATTTTCGGATTAATGAAACATTAATTCATATAGTAACGTCCCTTTAACAGAACAGTTACAGCAGCGAAGATCCGGGGTAGAATTGGTCTGTAGAAACCCATGCTTGTCGTAAGAGGTGTCTAACGGGATCAACGTTAAAAATACACACCGCACAAACAATAACAGTACATTGACGTTTCCAAATGTAACCGCCAGATGTGCATGGATAACGTAAGTTATATGTATGTTCTTTTAATTCTTATGAATCTGCATGTATCTCTATTTTACAACACCTGTGGGTATTCAATGATAGAATACGTCCATGCTTTCTGCTGGATCCGACCAATTGTGTGCCATCGTGACCATACGTACTGTACTCACTCTCTTAACCACTGTTGTGACGGGCACAGAGACGATTATTTACGATATTTACAGATTCCGTCGTATGGTCATCAAATACATGAGTTTATGAATCACTATCAAAAAGTGATTACTCCAGGTGTTCGCGAAAAGGTGAGCATCCTGCCCCACAGGTGGCACCCGTCACAAACACATGCAAAGGCAAATCAAGTGCTCACCTGAAAAAAAACCCGGGAACATGTGGTACAAGTAAAAATAGGGAATTGCATCGGACATCATATTTGTCACAGATGCGTCTACGCACCCACGTATGACGTTCCTTATTCTCAGACTATAACCCGTGATGATTGGTGGATAGGGTGTGTGAATCATCCAAGACCCGTGATGAACGATGTCGTACCTCTATCTCTATAGAATAGGTAGATGCTAATTTGACTAACCCATACAGACATGATTACATAGCCGTCGGGATATGGTCGGGTATGGTCCATTACAGAGTAAAACATCAAAGAAATGGATTGGACCATAAAACCAGCGTCATTAATTTGTCCTTATATCGTAACTCGTGCCTTGCCAGTAAAACACGTCAAGTGTAAAGGTCATGGCCCTTGCTCACTATGCCATAACATTTCATATTCACAGAGTGAATGGGTGAACCTTTATGCCGCTTTCTATTCCAGCCCTTCCAGGGTGTGCTTGTCCATGGTGAGGTTTCACATAGTACGTATACAGAGTGCCGCCTTATGTTTTTTAAGTCTAAAATAAAATAAAAAATACGAACACGATATTGAAACACTGCTATCAAACAGACCGAATATAATAACATCCGTCATAGTGAGTGAGTATGGTTTTACGCCGCTTTTAGCAATATTCCTGCAATATAATGACCATCTTCCCGAGGCTAGGGAGTTAACTGACTATAAAAGACTGGAATTACGGAGTTACAGTTTGGCTGGGCTAACGAGTCTATGCATAGTCCAATGAAAATATCTAGACATCCGATTCGAAAACAACATGGATTTCAACGTGCAGATTTCGGTCGACTGCAAGATTTGCAAAGAATGTGTACCGTCAACCCGGCTTCGACAGATATCTTGCAAATCGCTTCATGTTTCAAATCAAGGTGCTCAAGTGAGTTGATGCGTTTCGCGAGGTAAGACCCGTTTTATAACAATATATACTCACCGCCAAAAGAAACGCCAACTATAGTAACATAGAGAAGCATGTCTACGTCAAAAAGACATTTCCAATGTGTACCACTTAATGACAAAACTGACAATCACTCAAGTATTACCACAGTGTCTGTATTCTTATCAGGATAAGCTGCACGTAATTTCCAAACTTTACACGCTGATCCTGCTCGAGACAAATGGTGCATCTCGAGTCATGGCTCTTTGACGTCACATGTGATGTCGGTTTACACAACATACCAGTATGTTCGTTTTGCATCGAACCAATCTAATATATCTTGAATATGAGTAATTCTTCTTTATTAGCCAACATGTATGGTATTCGAGTTTCTTTTGTCCGTGAGTATAGATCTTGATTAACGATCAGATCGTCTTGCCTAGGCGCTGCCATTTTATTTGAAGCAAATGCAAGTGATGTGAGAGGTGGAATCTGATTGTTCAAAAGGATGAACATAGAAGGGACATAAGTCGTTAACACGAGCCACGAAATACCAGCTTTGTTCGGCAAGGGTGGAGTGAGTGAGTTAGGTTTCACGCCGCTGTTAACAGTATTCCAGTTATATCACGGCGTGTCAGCTTAATGTGGGAGGAAAGCCCGAATTGATGCAGGTCTAAGACGTTTACCACTTCGGTGAAACCCACGAGCACGGGTATGGTGCTGACAAACCTAGAAACATAATTAGGGCGAACCGGGATTCGAACCCACAATCATAGGTTTCTGGCGTATCCAAGGGACGCAACTCTGCACAGCGAATCGCGGCGCCTTAGACGACTGGGCCACCCGTGCCCCCGGCAAGGGTGGAAACTGGATATAGTCAGTTAATGCCCTTGCCTCGGGAAGATGCGTCACGGCGGGGGACACCAGAAATGCAGACGTAATAAGGCGCGTAACATAAGTAAAAACAAGCATGTTAGGATATGCAATAAACATAAATGAAGTAGAAAGATGTTCAATTGGGCCTTCTTTTTGAAAGAAACAGCCATGCAGTGTCGGGGAAATACCTCTGGCAGTCAGAGCCTTGTGCACAGAGACTGTTCCGCGTGGGGGTACATCCTATTCATGAGTGAGTGAGTTGGGTTTAACACCGCTTTTAACAGTATTCCAGTGATATCACGGCGTGGGAGGAAAGCCCGAAGTGATGCAGGTCTCAGACGTTTACCATTTCGGTGAAACCCACGAGAACTGGTATGGTGCTGACAAACCAAGAAACATAATCGGGGCGAACCGGGAATCGAACCCACAATCATAGGTTTCTGGCGTGCCCAAGGGACGCAACTCTGCACAGCGAATCGCGGCGCCCTAGACGACAGGGCCACCCGTGCCCCCTCTTATTCATGATAATTATCCGCTATAAAAGCGTGCTTCGCAACCCATGGTGAAGTGTTAACTGCGTCATGTTTGCATAGGTTTATGACTTTCCGCTTGTATACTGAGTAATTGTGATTGCCGCATAAACTGTCGTGCAAATAATAGCTTTGAAGAAAATCACATTTTAATTCAACAAAGCTATTGAGGCTTTTCTTTATAAACTTTATAAACATGTATGTACACATTTGATAAATTGAAAAAAATAATAATCGATTTTCCACGCAGATTGCCTCATTCATACCAGTGAATTAAACTGCCGGAATAAAGACATTTTTGATTGTGGCCTAAAGTGAAACAAACAAATTATGTTGATGTATTTTATCTTAGTTACGTTTTTCACTTCAAGTGTGCAGTTTTTAGGCGACCGTTGTCAGCTTAGTCAAGTTTTGATAACATTGGTTATTCAAATCTTATTTCAAGTGTACACTTTATTTTGCCCAGCATTTTACTGTTCGTGAAGCAAATATATATATAACCAAAGTAACTGAATAAATAAAACTTGTTGTGACAGGTTGTAAATAATATGAAACACACAGCTCAATGTTGGGTGTATTTTATAGCCACCGCCTTGCTGTTTCTGACTCACGTGATCCCTCCGGTAACACTGACATGGATTCGCATGCACAGGCAACGCAATTTACATTGTAACATTAACATATGTGTTGCCTTCAAGCGAATCTGCAAAAAAACCCAACATTGTATTTTAACATATTATTATGTACAATCACTTTGATAGCTTGAACGAACTAGAAGCTGTAAATATGCCTTGCAGACCATCGCTCCCACCCACGCTGTCTGACTCCACCCCCCCACCCACGTGTCTGGGTATCAGGAGACAGAAGCCTCCAGCGGTCTCACGCCACCCCTTTCACCCCGTTACGGTAGAAGACAATGGAGCGATGGGCGTGACAATACCTCTTTGTGACGTCGGAGCATTATGACGCAGCATATGGTACACACTGGGTATAATCGGCATGCCTCGCCCCTCTCCGTAACCGCAAACACGAAGTTTATTTTCAGCGGAAATGGCCGATCATGTTCAGAAGTAAATAACATACGACAAAGGTTAAGGGGGTTGTCGCAGACCTTAACATATTTTCATTGTGTACTGTATATTGTGATTGGAAACCATGTGTTAATGACACGAGAGTTTTTATTGTTGAAGATTTTATTGCGATTAGAAACAGATACACGTGTCAAAGTTACAGATCATACATTTTGTTGTTTACTATAATTTGTAGCAGGAGCACAAGGGGTACATGGGGATTTATGCATCGTTGTTAGGTTTTATATCACGAAACGGTGTATTAAAAATAACGAGGGACGCA